AAAGTTTCTTTCTTTCTTTCTTTCTTTGATGTTTATTTATTTTTAAGACAGAGAGAGCATGAACAGGGGAGGGTCAGAGAAAGAGGGAGACACAGAATCTGAAACAGGCTCCAGGCTCTGAGCCGTCAGCACAGAGACTGACACAGGGCTCGAACTCACGGACCGCGAGATCATGACCTGAGCCGAAGTCGGACGCTTAACCGACTGAGCCACCCAGGCTCCCCTGAGTTTCTCGAGACAAAAGTAGCACTGACTTTTAAAAATATATATTGATAGCTTTGGCCACATTAAAATTCACAGTTTTCATCAAAACATACCTTTAAAACACTGAAAATGCAGTTACAAACTGGGAGAAACTGTTCACAACAGACACTGCGAGCGTAACAACCCTACAGAAAAACAGGCAAAAGAGATGAACAGATATTTCCCAGAAGAGGAATTTACATAATTAACAAACGCACACTGAGATATTTAACACAACCAGTGAAATGTAAATCAAGATCACAACAAGACTGCTTTCTTAGGTCTATTTGGTTGGTGAAAATGAGCTAGCAATCCCGTTCAGAAGCATCTACTCACAACAAACACTCACTTGTGCACAAAGAGACACATGCAAGAATGTTCCAAGAGTCATCGACCACAACAGCGAAGCCTGGAAACGATCTAAATACACAACACAGGAACACGGAAGAATAATTGTGAGATAGTCGCACAAAGAAATGAGCTACAGTAAAGATTCAGCAGCACAGATGAATTTTAGCAATTTGATATTTGGTGAACGTGTAAGCGCGATGCCCTTCTTAAAGAAGTAAAAACAGCTTAAAATGAAAAATCTTTGAAGAATACCTATAGATGCAACAAAAGGAGAATGGTCCCCTCAGGGGTGATTCAGGAAGACAGGGGTGCCAGAGACGGGTGGGTGCAGATACTGTTTGGTTCTAAATATGTTTTTAAGACAATCTGAATAAGAATGGGCCATGTAAGGACAAACCATGAAACTATGCCATGAACCAAGGATTATGACCAACCAGAGCATATGCGCCTGAGACGCAATGAATGTACACAGTGCAATAAAGTAAGGAAAAGATACAAAAGGTATAATGATGGCAAGGAAAAAGAAAACTCTTCAGATGACATAACTGTGTATGTGAGCAATAATAATAGTCTTCAGATTATTCACAAGAAATAATATTATTCAGAGAAATAAACATAATCTTCAGATATATTAACAGAATTGATAGAAATGTTAGCCAGATGGCTGGATTAAAAAGAAATCAGTTCATAAAAATCAATTCCATTTCTATCAACCAGCCACAATCTGTAGAAAAAAACACAAATTTTAATACTACTTACACTAGAATCAAAAATAAAAACACATATAAGACTAAATCTAACTTTAAAAAAGTGCAAACAGGGGCGCCTGGGTGGCTCAGTTGGTTGAGCGTCCGACTTCGGCTCAGGTCACGATCTCGCGGTCTGTGAGTTCAAGCCCCACATCGGGCTCTGTGCTGACAGCTCGGAGCCCGGATCCTGCTTCGGATTCTTTGTTCTGTCTCTCTCTGCCCCTCCCCCGCTCATGCTCTGTCTCTCAGAAATAAATAAAATGTAAAAATCCTTTAAAGTTGTTTGTAAAACTTTTTTTGGTGCGTCTTGACAAGCTGGCTCTGTAACTGGTATGGAAGTAAAGGGGTCAAGAGTCCAGAAGAGCGGAGTCATTTCTGAGGAAGAAAAACAAGATCGTGGGACTTGCCTGACCAGCCCAGCGACGCCCTAGTGGGCTGCAGTAAGGAGGACATTGCGGCACTGGCCCAGGGCAGACGGACAGACCGACGGAGCTCACCAGAAAGTCCAGGGACACCGTCCGTGACAGCAGCAAGCTGCAGGTAGGTGGGGAGGGCCTTTCCAAAGTGGGGAGCCCCGTAAAACTGCGATCAAACCCATCTCACACCACACGCCAAATCAACTCCAGGAGCATTAAAGACCGAAATGCACGAGCAAGTGGCACTTACAGAAGAAGCCGCCACCGGGGCCTGTCTTCAAGAGCTCAGGGTAAGGGTACCAGCCACAAAAATCACCAACTGTAGAGGAAAAGGTTGACCAGCTTGGGTTTATCAAAATCAAGGTGGTTCTGCATGTCATAAGGAAGCAAAAAGACAAATCACAAAGTGGGGACAGTATTTGCAACAGTCAACGGAAAAGGAGAATCCAGAATAGATGTCACTCCTCCAAGTCGAGAAGAAAGAGACCCTTCCGGAAGAAGAGTCTACGGACAATTGGACGGAAGGCTCAGGTGGGTACTTCTCAGGAGGGGAAACACGCCTGAAAATGGGCCATCTGACTGGTAAGCAGCAAAATGCAAATGAGCGCCATCGCGCTGTCTCCAGAGGCGAACACGAAGACGCATGCTGACACCAAGTGTCGGCAGCAGCAGGAGGCACGGCCCCGGTGTGAATGCAGTCAGAGTGCAGCCCCTTTGGCCGTGCTCATAAGGCCCAGTGTACCGGGTTCAAGACCCCCTCCCCATGAGCTCACGTCCACTTGGAACCTGTGAATCTGACATTATTTAGAAACCGCCTTTGCAGATGTCATCAGGTTAAGATGGCACCCTGGAGGGAGGGGGTGGGCCCCAATCCAACAGCAGTGTCCTTACAAGAGCGAACTTTGGACACAGAGACACAGAGAAGGAACACCACGTCAGGACGGGGCGCAGCCTGGAGTGGCCCAAGGACAAGCCAAGGAGCACCAAGCATTACGAGCAGCCAGCAGGAGCTGGAGGAGACCAGGAGGGATTCTTCCCTACAGCCTTGAGAGCACAGCCCTGCGAACACCTTGACTCCAGACTTCAGGCTCCAGGACGTTCACAGAACACCTTTCTGTCATTAAGCCAGCCGCTGGCAGTGCTGTGTTACCGCAGCTAAGTTGAGGCTGTGTGCACCCCTCAACGCTACGCTTCTAGAAAGATGCCTGCGGAAAGGTGCACGCTGTGTTTTTTCGTAACAGCAAACAACCCAGAAAGAGGCGAGATGCTGAGCGGGAGGGCCGAGCGGCCTCAGTGGCAGACTGGACATGAGGTGAGGAGAGTGGGCGGGACTGGGGGTGTCCTCCCGGCTGAGGCCGGCCAGCGCTGAGGACAACCCGTGCCTTCGCCCCACAGACACTTACTGGGCACCGCCCGTGGGCCCCCGCACAGCCCCAGCTGCCGGGGTGAGCGGTGAAGACAGCAGAAGATCGCTGCCATTAGGGACCTGCACTCCAGGGGAGAGAGCCAGCCAGCAGACGGACGGACGGCAAGGACGCTTTGGTGCCAGGGAGGGAGGGGTGGG